TGGTGTGGGATACGGCTTTTGTTTTTCATGTGACGTGCGGAAACATTCTTTCTCCTTATCTAGGTATCTTAACTGTCTCAACACGTGACAACATAGTTTTCTTTTGCCAATGTGGAGAGTATACTTGAGGCTGTGCAGTGGGAATGGAGTGGATCGCAGACGATAGTTTGTGGTCTGGTTACAAAAAGGCCAATCAACAGGAAATAATATTGTAGGGAATTTTCTTTTTTTTTAAAAAAAACACACCTTATTTTGCCACCAAAAATTAAATTAATATAAAACTTGGGGAAAATATCTGCTGGCGATATTACTACATTAAATTAATTACCTTTGAAGCATGATGTGAGTGCTGGCCCATAGAATTGGCACTGTTGGCCGATGCAGAGCCCATCATGATGCCCTTTGGTATTATGAACGCACTCTGCAGCAGAGTGGAAGAATTGTGCCGAATATCCAGATTATATTTTCCAGTGCAGACTGCTGAGAACTGAATGTTAGATAAGGCAGAAGAAAAAACAAGGAGTGCTGTAATGTCATTTGTAGTTGACACACATGGACATACAATCACTGCAGATTTTTGAGCATGAGCTTTTGTAAAACCACAGATGAATGAATGCCTGGAGTCTGTGGAAGTCAGGAGCGGTTTGTACGCTGATTTCCTAGGAAGTAAGAAATAAAGCTTGTTAGCTAACAAGCCACATTTTCTGCATGCCTTTGTGCACGCTTAGATCACTATCTACTTTTGTTACAGGCTCATTTACAAAGGAGCTGTTGACATTTAACATTCACATTCATATATACGCAAACAATGTGTAAGAGTAATATTTGGGATTAATGTTTATAAACAAGATTTATTTCAACGTTTAACATAATAGCCCATCATATCGGTGTTTTCTGTTTTCATCAGTTTCACGCTGGTATCATTATATCCACTTAGAGTACTGTACACATTTCCTTGATGCAGCATATAGGGCTCTAGAAATATCTGGCAAAGGTTAACTCCCTTTTAACATGTAATTTCTATTGCTGCATGTCAATACGCGTCTATGGAAATACATGCATATATCTCTCTATCCACCAGACAGTTCTTAATATTTAAGTTTGTCACTGGCGTGCCATGTTCTTATCTTTTTGTGTTCTTGAGATGTTTGGCTACTCAAAATTTCAGGGTCATATAGATTGTTTAACCAATGAGAAGAAATTAATAATGGCGTTAGAGAACTTCGGCATAACTCAGTTTGTGTGCAAGAATTCTAGAGTGCAGGGAAAGCTGTACAACGAGGTATTTGCAAGTAGCCCCTGGTGAAGAGCTCAGTGCCTGGAGTCTCCCAGAGCTGCATCCTGGGGCTGCTCAGTCTCCTGCATGGTCCTGCTTGTGTTTGTTTCTCGATCTGTCCTTTCTCCTCCACAAGAGCTGCCTCCAATCCCATATGTACTTGTTTTCCAGAGCAGTGTCCTTAAAACCCAGGGCTCCTGGTGCCTCCAGATTTGTGGGATATCTTGCATTTTCTGTTATTTTGAGGGAAAGTGCCCTTTCTGAAGTGAGAAGTATTTTCACACAAGGTTAACTAAAGTTACAGCTCTAGCAATAATCAAAGTGATGGTTTCCCTGAGCAGGCAAAGAAGATTGCCTCTAACTTGCTGTACTGTAACAGTGGTGTTGACATAAGTCAGTACTTGACATTACTTACATGCAGTGCTTGGGAACAAACGAAAACAGCAAGTGCGGGTCACGTCACTCAGCGGACTTAGAAGATTGCTGTTAACCAGCTGACATTCCTAACTCTGTATTATCTCCTGCTTGGAAGCATTTTTATTAAATGAAAACTTGCTTGTATGACTATTACATCTTGATCAAAACACTGGTTTCTTTTACTGATGTTTCAGAGCTGTAATTTCTGTAGCGCTCTCTGTGGCCTGGGCACTGGTGGGAGGCTGTCACAGATTGCCTCGTAAGCTGCAGTTTTTCGCCTGTGGTCCCCTGGAAAGGCTGCGTGTAATGCTCTGAAGGAAAAATGAGCATAATGTCAGTAGACTTGATCATCCAATGTGGACGCATTCCTACTGACTCCTAGTGATCGGATTTTGCAGTGTCCTCAGTACTGCCTTTGAAAATAGCAAGCAAAGTTATTTTGTAGGAAAAAACTGATAGCAAACGCTTCTGCTCCACAATTGCGCAGAGACTCAGCCCGATGATATGAAGTGAAAGTACGGTTTGAGCCCCAAGCGTGCATAGCCATACTAGGAGACAGCAGTGCCTCATACTGCTTGACAAGCTGTGGGAGACCTCTAGAGCCGTGTTGTATCTCTTCTGGTGGTTAATTCTGGGAAACTTGAAATTTGGGAAATGTGTGGAACAGGATCCTGTCTGATTGTGAAGCATAAATTCGGCATAAGAGTTCAATATTAGACATTTATGAAAACAGGTTTTTTTTTATAATTGTTATTTCTGTGTTAACTTTAGGTAATGAAAGATAATCTGTGGCATCAAGAAGAGATGGGATGTCTGGGAATGATGGGTATGTAGCTGTTTTCTCTCTCTTTTCAGCACTGTGAGAGTCCCAGGACTCCCAGGGCATGGGTGCATGGGTAGGCAGAGGATGGGAGCTGTGCATGGGTGGCCTGCTGTCGTCAGTGGGACTCTTAATCCTGGATCACAGGGGACTGTTCGCTCATAAGTTAGGAACAAGGGTGCTCTAGGCTTCCTAAACAGTTCATCTAGAATGGAACCCCTGTGAGAAGACCTTAGTTTGTACCCTGCTCTGAGTAATTTTCAGGAGAAGCCCGTTTTCCTCATTAAACATAATGACATAGGCGAGTACCGTCTAATGCCTGGGATTCCCAGTGTTGTGGAAAACTCCTATTATATAAGCTGATCAAGACCTTTTTCCTCTTCAGAAGATAACTTAACTTGTATGCATTTACTACCACTGTTGCAATACCTACTCTTGAAGCTGTTTTCAAAGATCTCTGCAATTAAATAAATAAGATACTTTGTCCTGGACCAAGTTTTTGAAGACTCATAGATGTAGGGGACCTGGAAGCGTTGCTGGGATACTAGTACTCTTTACAGTGGATATGAAGTATACTTATCACTGATCTCAGATACACCGAGCATCTCCAGTTGTAGTTGTCTGATCTGGTTGAAATAGGGTGCCTTGATACTTAGAGAAATCACTTACAGATTTGAGGAGCTGCATCTGAAGGCTGACTGCCACAGGCTCTTTGTGTACGTTTGAATAAATCACTTAGTTTCTCTGAGCCTCTGGTCTTTTTCTCTATACATGTATAATAAATACTGTGCTACCTCACCCAAGTGTAGTGGAGATGAGTACCCTGAAAGGTTAGAGCATCCTCATACAGCACATTAGCAGGGGCAATGCAATGTCTGAAATAGACCCTCCCCATGGCTGCAGTTCCCCAAGAGATGATTTCATGACATGCATTTGCCAAGAAAGTACACGCTGTGAAGCAGTGATCTAGTGAGATGCCTGTAATTTCTTTGCCCCATGCCATGGCTAATTCACAAATGAGTTTATTAATTTAAATACGAAAGCAAATAATTCAGATTTGCTGAGCTTCCTTGCTTTTTCCTGTGTTTATTAAATGTCATCTTTGCTTCTTGTATCTTGCTTTCTAATGGGTTGCAGATTATTAATGTACCGTCCACTAGGAGAGGAAATGCATGTGGTTTTGTAGTTCAGAAGAACCTTCTGATGCTGAAGAAAAGGTGGGGCGATTGGAGGATTTTGATATGTAGTATTTTTTTGTTCATGATTGCATCTCTGCCATTTCATTAGTAGGTAAATATATGTGTTAAATGAGGGGCTGCTACAAGCGCTGAATTGTACACTTGATTTTATAACTGAGAATTGTCCCATTCTAATAAACATGAATTTTTAATATACTTAAAACGAAGTTTTTAGTGGTTTGCTTAATCAAGGTGCTGGGCTCTTTATTTCTTGCTGAAGAAATTTTAAATGAAAGCAGTGAACCTTTGAAGTTGAAAATGGCAGTGCGCTGAAGGGAAACATTTTGTGGCAGCACACTGATCTTGGAGCTGCTGTTGAAAGCTTTTTGTAGTCGTTTCTGGATGAGAAAAAGCGATGCCAGAATAGCCCTATGATTGAGGAACTCAGTGGATTTTTGACAGTTATGTTTGAGTCTGCTCTGACTTACTCAAAACAGGCTTGGAGAGTAGATTCATTTTTTCTTGTTAATGCCCATAGTTTCTTTGACTTTATAACAAGAAAAGTTCATGGCAACATTCAAAACTGAAATACAGTAAATTACTACCTTTGCCTGTTCATTGTTGTGTGTAATTGAATGGACTTTAAATTGGATCTTGTGTCCTGGATGGTTTTCAGGACAGGGAATAATTCAGAACAACCACAAAAATACAGTAAGCAAGTATATTTAACTCTTTTCTTCCTCACTGAAATAGAGTATGATTATTCAAAACTTTGCTGATAAATTTTGGGGGAAAGCAAATTGGACTGCAGGTGTGGGACTTGAAATACACAGCCCTTAAGAGCTAAGAATTAAAATGACTGTCTTAGTTAAATTGCTTTTTTTCCTCCCAGTGTCAGGTAATTTTTAATTCTCAACTTGACATTTCACAAACTTGTCAGAGTCTTCACTTTCCTACTGTAATTTGGCAGCTTAGGATGCGTTAAAAAGGTACAAGAGCCTTAAGAGCACACTGGAGTCTTTGCTGCACACCTATTGCAAGACTGTCTTAATTTTGTATCATCCTGTTTAATTGCCATGGCCAAGAATAACCTTCACCTTAACTTCTGTCAAGCACAAATAAGGCTCCTATGAACACAGACCCACTGTCGCCACAGATTCCACGCAGTAAGTGCATTTTGCACCAGGTTGGATCCTCTTCGCACTTGCACGCCCTGAGCAGCAAGCGAAGGCAGTGAGAGCTGGGAGTGGGGAGCTTTCCTTCCTAAGTGTATTGTGTGTGCCTTGACTGTGGCTGCTGGAGGTCCCAGAGAGCAAAAGATCACCATCCAAAGCATTAGTGTACAAAGCTGAGGAGTGGGAACTGACTGCCTGGGGAGAATAGCAATATTGAACAGCGTTAAATAACAGAAACTGTTCTGATCAACTGTGTGCTTGTCATTTCATATTGTTGTGGCACTATGCATATGTGGGACAGAGTGACTGCTATAGTAACTTGAGTGGTAAAATGTTACACCAATCGTCCAGCTGTTTCAGCTGTAGTACTATTTATTTTCATGTTTTCTTTTTGTAATTCAATACAAAGTCAACCTACCAGCTAGCACTGGTAATTAGCTAGGAATATGCAGTTTAAGACAGAGTTCTGGCATATCTGTTTATATTGGGTTTATGGAAGATAAATAATCGGAAAACATTTTAGTACCATGCTAATTAAAAGTAAGATAAAATATTTAACAACTTGATAATACTTTGTAAAAACATGGAACATTTACTTAAGGAAAACAAAAGCAAATTTCATCATGGTGATGCTGTCTCACATCTCAAAAGAAAGTGAAATTACTACCCTTCTTTGATGATCAGTTACACTTGGCATCTTTGGAGATGCTTGCAGGGAAGCTCCACGTTAAGCCTCATGCTCTGCTGGTTTGCTCGCTAGGAAATGTTTTGGCCTGAAGCTGTACTCTGGGAGTGCCCGGTGGCAGCCTGGCAAGCCCAGCGGAGAGGGGGCTGTTTGGGCTGTGCGTGAAGCTGAAACTGTTCCCCTGCTTTGCAAAGTTTCCCTTTCAAAAAGCAGTGGGAATAGTTTTCCTTTAGAAACTAATGGAAGTGTAGACCATGCAGCTCTGATAATAGGTTTTCTGAAAACAGCTAGAAAAATGGTGAAGATGGAAGCTGTAAGAAGAAAAGCGAGTGGAAGGAACAAGGAGACTGCAAGGTCAGTCGCGGATTTGGGATGCACCTCTGAAGGGGCACTGACATTCCTGTGCTCACACTTCTGAACAGCAGGGTATCCAAAAGAAAGCTCGATGCTTGTTAGTGAAAGGCTTCAGGATTCAAGTATTAGTGTTTTCCAACCTCAGATGAATCTATTTGTTAAAAGAAAACAATTTCAGAACAGGAATCTAGAATAGACGTGAAAACCACAGAATGTGTTGTGCCTGTACCATCCTTTCTCAGATATTAAGCATCCAGCTTTTCAAGCAATCATCAGCCATCTATAGTCCATCTACGACCTTATCTGAAAGGCGACAGCAGGTGAATTGATAAATACAATTATGTTGTCTTGATGTTAAGAGTACACAGCAAGTTATGCGGAAAAGCAGTTATGTTCTTGTAGGTCAGGTGGACTGAGCTATATAGTGTTCTAGTGACAGTTACGTCTGTGTGGATCAGGAAAAAGTTATTTAACTGACAGTTGATACTACAAAAAATAATGAGATAGGAAAGTGCTGCTTTACTGCCAAGGGATACCAGGGTATAAAAAAACAGCCTATATTCTTAAAAATTAATAGGAAGGATGAGAAAAAATCTGGAGGAAAGCAGTGGCACGTGTTGCTGTATGAACATATGTCACACTGATTGAATCTATTTAAGCAAAACCTTCCACTGAGTGACGGAAAGATACAAGTGAATTCGCAGAAGTATCTTTGTAATCATCATCAACATTGAGGCTGCTTAACGTAATGTCAAGAACCTGCAAAATCCCCAACCTCCAATTACCGATGATGGAACAGCCAAATAACATGCCTGCAGACTTCTACTGGGAGCTGGGCACGTTATCTTGGGATTCAAAGTGATGACAAAGCACAACTTGAAAACAGACTCATCTGTCTAATTAGTAATCCAGACATTTATTTAGAGTCAAATAACATAATCATTTAATTAAACTGGTTACTGTGGACTTGATACTCTCCAGAGGGGAGCATCGGGATTTGCTGTTGCATGAAAAGTGCAGTTGGATGTGCTGGTGGGGATGTCATGCTGCATAGGGCACAAGAACAAAAGATATTTTGTGCAGCTATTACCCGCTCTTGTTGGCTGACCTTCCTCATCCAAAATACAGAAATGATCTGCTAAATAAGCAGCACTTTCAAGGCAGTAGTTGCTCAACCTAGCCCATACATTTTGTCTTTTTGGCTTCTGTCACTTACAAAGCCCTACAGAGAAGCTCCACGTCTTCAATCAGGGTTTCTGTTTACTAAAGTGCATCTCCTGTAGTCTGGCAAGAAAACAAAAAGAATTGGTGCTCCACCTCCATAGGAATGGGGTGGCAATTGCTTTAACATATGAGAGACATAGCAAATATAAAATGAATGTCTTTCAATGTTTGGATATATCTATACGAAACTGTGAAGAGGCTTGATTCAGTAGTCAGAACATAGGTTTAGAACCATTGGAGGTGAGACGTAGTACGATACTTGGATGTGCTGGGGAGTGCCGTGGCCAGGTGGGCTCAGACTGGTAGCCTGCAGGTCTGTACTGCGCTTCCAGTTCAGCACTGGTGTCATCCTGAGTGTCATGGGCTCTGGCTTAGTCTTGAAACAGAAATACGCCATGCATGACTACCCTGAAAACATTCCAGCCCCAAAGATATGCAGACATTTGGTAGAGTCCAGTTGGAAGCCTGTATCCAGTGGAGTCCCTCAAGGGTCGGTACTGGGAACAGTATTGTTCAACATGTTCGTCAGTGACTTGGATGAGGGAATGGAGTGCACGGTCAGCAAGTTTGCTGATGACACTAAACAGGGAGGAGTGGGTGACACACCTGAAGGCTGTGCTGCCATTCAGAGAGACCTGGACAGACTGGAGAGTTGGGCGGGGAGAAATTTAATGAAATACAACAAGGGCGAGTGTAGAGTCTTGCATCTGGGTAAGAACAACCGCATGTACCAGTACAAGTTGGGGACTGAACTGTTGGGGAGCAGCACAGGTGAAAGGGACTTGGGGGTCGTGGTGGACAGCAGAATGACCATGAGCCAGCAATGTGCCCTTGTGGCCAAGAAGGCCAATGGCATCCTGGGGTGTATTAGAAGGGTCGAGAGACGTTCTCCTCCCCATCTACTCTGCCCTGGTGAGGCCGCATCTGGAATATTGTGTCCAGTGCTGGGCCCCTCAGTTCAAGAAGGACAAGGAACTGCTTGAGAGAGTCCAGCACAGGGCCACAAAGATGATTAAGGGAGTGGAGCATCTCCCTTATGAGGAAAGGCTGAGGAAGCTGGGTCTCTTTATCTTGGAGAAGAGAAGACTGAGGGGGGACCTCATTAATGTTTATAAATATGTAAAGGGTGTCTGCCGTGAGGATGGAGCCAGGCTCTTCTCAGTGGCATCCAATGATAGGACAAGGGGAAATGGATATAAGCTGGAACATAGGAGGTTCCACTTAAACATGAGGAAGAACTTCTTCCCAGTAAGGGTAACAGAACACTGGAACAGGCTGCCCAGAGAGGTTGTGGAGTCTTCTTCTCTGGAGATGTTCAAAACCTGCCTGGACACGTTCTTGTGTGATCTGATCTAGGTGGTCCTGCTCCAGCAGGGGGATTGGACTAGATGATCCTTTGAGGTCCCTTCTAATCCATAACATTCTGTGGTTCTGTGATTCTGTGACTCTGTGTAATTATACAGATTACTGTTCATCTCAAGTTTACCTTTTTATGTTTACAGTCCCTAAATTAGTCTGAGTCTGTGGCATCATTTAACAGTGGTTTAAGTATTTAAGTAAAGCTTAGAGAAGTCAGTTAAAACTAATGGTAAAATATAAACAACTAGCTTTTCCTGGCCTATATATCCACAATTTTGTCCAATATAAACCACTCCCTTCTGAACAAAAAACATGCTATTCCAGCATGGGAAGACAGTGAAGCTCCCCAAGGGCAAATGTCCATCTGGGTTCTGTAAGCAGCAGGACTGCATCTCTTTCATTATGTTAACAGGAATATTTTCAGTGGTTCATGTGCATCAATGCTTCAAGGCCCTTTATAGGACCTCCCTTTAAGGGTCCAATTCTGAATGCTCTGTGCATGACTTTTGTATTTAGAGCTAACAGTATTTCTCTATATTATTCTTCCAACCAAGCAGTGTCTTTTTTTAAAAAAGCAGCTTCTTGTATTAATGAGATTTTAATTATCTTCAGTTTTTCATATTTCATTAACATATAATAGTGTTTTTTTAATGAAAACTTTATAGAAAAATGTAATTTGCCAAAAATCTTTGCTTTTCAATGAGAGGTTTTGTTCATATGAATTTATATTGCTAGTGATTAAAATATGGAATTTAAAAATAAGTGATAAATGAGAACTATTATGCAAAGAAAGGAAAAAAAGTATCTTCTTTAAACATAGCCAGCCAACTGTAGTTTTAAAATTTTAATGACATTTTTTTTTAATGACATTCAGCAGCTTTACCTTTTGACAATTTAGTATATTAAATTATTGATTTTTAGTATAAGCTCCTTTTATTAATGTCATAGGTGCTTTTACTTTAGTGGATGAAAATGATATGATTTCAAAAGTGTTCTTGTCATTTTATGTGACATCGTGGACTAATCTTTTAGAAAAATATAAGAGTATAAGCTAGCATTTATATTTCTAATTACTAAATTGAGGAGCATTTGATTTGGTGGCACTCCAATTCAACTGAAATGTAACTGAGACCCTTACCTATCTGAGAAGTATTTTTGTTCTGAATATGTATTGACATAGTTAATGGTTAATTGGCAGACTGTATCTTCGACGCAGAACACCCTTAGCACTGAGGCCACTCACATTGTAGAGTGCTTCAATTATTTATGCTTTGCTGAAAATTTCTTTGTGTTGGAAATACTACAGTTGATTTAAGGCTGAAACTTTTTAATTCATGCATTAGACACTTTGCATTTAAATGGCAAGAAGTTTTCTGTGGCAGATGTGTGAGTTCCCTAGGTTTTTTTTTCTAGATCCTGCTGGGTTTTGTGGGGCAAATCTCATCTCTGTTTCCTCTCTGGCCTCATGTCTCTGTTGCCTGTATGGATTTTAAGTGCTTTAGGGGAGAGCGTGCTGGTCGTGGCGTGACTGGGTACCATCAGCTCCATCCCTGGCTGGAATCTGCCGGGGTTGCTGCGCACCAAGCAGCTGCCGCACGAGTCAGCTTTAGCTCTAATGCAGAGTGTTGCCTTGGTTTTCAGCAATGATGCCCTCACCTCTGGTCATTAAAGCAAGTGAAGCCCATCACGAACTCTTGACTTCTGCAGCCTCGGACGATCAGTGGAGCCATTCGCTCTTTGCTTTGATACCCTCATGGACAAAGAAGATTTTGTTCAAACGAGAGTCTTCTGTTAACCACCAACTGGTCAGTGAAAGATGGTTTGCCACTTTTAATATTCATAATGATCGTACCAATTATATCAGAAATGAACATCAGTGGGAATTTACTACCCAATTAGTACATTTCTAATCCTGTCTCAGGTGATTATGTTCACTTGAGATGGCTTCAGCAGCACCAACTAGTTGTGAGATTTCCAAAGAATTATTGTTACAGCTACAACTATGTGATTACTGCATAAATTCTGATAGGCACTTAGTATATGAAATGCATCTGTACAGTCTGATGAACTTTGTGCATAGCGTATTTTGTTAGGGAATTGTATTAGCCAAAAGATGAATATATCAATCAAGATGCTAGTAATTACTTGTGGGTGTAAGCAGTTCATACAAATTTGGACTAGAAAAAGAATCGTGTGTTGCGATAAAAAAGCTCTTGAATTTGAAGGCAATTAATACCTCTAATTTATTTTCTCGTTTAATTATTTACGTAATGTAACTTGTGCTGCAGTTTGTGAATTATTATGTTTTCATACACTAAGTAGACTTTTCCCCTTCCTCCACAGCCTGAAGATGTGTCCAATATGTCAATGTCTTCTGGATTTGGAATAACCCTTCAGAAATGTGGTGTGGTAAGTTTTCTTACATTTGTCTTGTTAATTTGATAGGAAGTTTGTACCCAAATGTCTTTTAAAAAGTGAGAATAGAATTGTGCCCATGCTGAGTGTTTGGGAGCATGTCCATTTTGATGTTAAGATGGTTGCACTCTCTGTAAGAGGCACAGTTTTGCAATGTTGATTCAAAACTGAAGGAAGTCAGTGAAATCTTCTCTCAGACTTCAGAAGATTTTGGACTGTGATCAAAGTAAATACCTCAGTGTGAATTCGTAAAACTATACATAGGCAAAGACTAGCGAACTCTAGAAAATCAGCCACCAGGCTGGGTAGAGATAGAGACAAACTTCTTTAGAGGATGAGATAAGCCTACCGAGGTACTCTTTTGGCTCAACCGGGAGTGACCTACCTGTGTCAACTATGAACTCATTTGGAAGGATGGGGCACTGAGCCCTATGGTGCCTGCTGGGCCTTTGGGCATCCTGTCACATAGGCTTAGAGGAGCCAATATGTCATAGTCTGCATATAGAGTGGAACTCAGCTACAGCACGTATTTAATGAAAAAAAAGGTTTCATTTGACTTTTGTAAAATGCTTATGAAGAGCAAAGGCCTCCCTACTATAAGGAAATTTTAAAACTTCCATTTTATTTTTACTTTATGTGGCATAGGTTGATAGATTTACCTAGACTGTTATTTTTCCTTTCTTTTTCCCCATTTTTTTTCAACACTGGATGAAGCAAGTCCGCATTTTTATAATTAGAGACAGTTCATCTTACCTGTCCCTTGGAGGGAGAAAGTGCATCCAGCTTTAAGACGAATCTGAATTCAGCCACTGAGATGCTGCATATGAGAGTAGAGGATTCAGTAACCAGTGCAGAAGAGATGACATTAAAACCTGCACTAGATCGTTTGCATAGAGAAGAATGAATATGCATCACATCTCATGGCACTAATTACCTATAATGTTGTTATTGAAATGGCTGCGTATCATAATTAATGAGGCTGAATAGTGAGCATTTCAGACATAAGAGCAGTAACACAGAATCTTCTGCTTTTCCGGCTGTAGATTCCCGGTTTTTGTATCAGAGCTGCTCAGGAGAGTTTGAGACAGTTACATATTGTTTTTTTCTGCTATTCTTAGCACAGCCTCACACAGGATCATTAAAAACTGTGAAATCCTGCTGTACAAGATCAAAGTTAGTCTGTTGTAGATGCTAGGATTATCAGAAAATAATTTTGCAGTGATATTAGTTGTAAATTACTGAAAACTATGCAATTGTATGTGATTGTCTTCCACCTTCAAATGCGGTTCACATTTTATTTTCCTTTGCTTACCTTACCATCTACTTCAGTCCTAACTGAACAGATGCTTTCCTGCTAAGAGGCAGACTGGCCATATGGTGGTCTTTAGCTGTTTTAAATGGAAAAAAAGTGAATTTTGCACATTATCCTCCTCCTACCATGAGTAGCTCCTCAGAGCATGGAGATGACATATGTTTACTTCTTGGAGTCAGCATTTTTCCAACACCTTATCGCAGAAAGGGAAAGGTATGGGAAAATGAAGGGAGGAAAAAGTTTTTCTATTTCCACCTGTTTCCCCAGCTCCCTCTTTTGCTGTTGCATCTGTGTTTGCCTGCACAACCCATCCACACTTACTGTGGAGCATAATACAATATTAGCAATTCATACAGTTTGAACCATGAATCTTTCAAGGTGTTTTGGTGATTGAGTGAGGGTCTCTGCTTTGTGGCTTTGGATTTTCCTTGTGTGACTTTGAGGCTTTTTTTTCCTGCTTCGTTTTGTTTGTGCCTTTTAAATCAAGTTTCTAGCCTTTGTGACTGCACAGGAAAGGTTGAAAGGCATGTTGACTGCATCGTGCCAATTCAGAAACCAGGAGAGAGCAAATCTGCCCAAAATATATCACATTTTTAATATTTGGTGATTTTCAGTCTCATAAATGTTGGATTATAATTCTTGATATACAAACATAAGAAATCGGTAATGCTTTCCTCGCAAATATGATTAAGCCTATTTTTATACATGCTGACAATTATTTGTAGACTTTAGTACAATAAATAGTTGGGGTTTTTTCGCCATAAGATTTGTTTAATACAGTTGAGGTTTAACTTGCTGTAATGAGTTTGGAAAATTTAGTGTAGTATACCAAGGAGAGTTAGTTATATAAAAAGATTTATTAAGACATACTTTATTTATTGATACTTAAATAGAAAAATGCAAACTAAGCAATAATAATTTCAATTAGCCGTTTCTTCTCCTTCTATATATTCATAAGATATCCTAAACCTGTAATTTGTTTCTATACTGAACTAGTATGAAATGCAGAGATCAGTGATACACAATGAAATCTTGATTACATATGTCAAACCCTGTGGCTCTGGTGTGATTTCTGAAGTCTATCACAATTCATATTTTTAGAACTCATTTCGGGGGCGGGGGGGGCAGGATCTGCTTGATTATTTATATTCGCTGGTGTCCAGATACAGAGTAGACGTTTCCTAAAAAGGAGGAGGAAAAAAGAAAAAGAGATGACCTGAATCATACTTTGGGCAGTTAAATTGTTAGTTTGTTGTCATTATTAGAAGACTGATATACCATCATGGCTATACTATAGATCAGCATATTGTAGACCTGATAAAGTTTGAGACAATTCTGGATTGGTATGAGTTGTATGGGAAAGCAATTTGCAAGGTGAGGGGTCAGTAAGCAACTCCGTGCTCAAAGTAATTTCATTTAGAGGGTATAATTACTCAATAAGAGTTAAAAGCCTAATGGAATAAATAAATAAACTACATGAGTGCATGTTGCTAGAGATTGGTAATTTATGAATTTCACCACTAACTGGAAGCAGAACCGTCAACTCCCAAGTCCACTGGTAGCTCCATCAGCCCTCGCATGAGAAGGGTGAATCGAGGCAGCCAGCACCCTTCAGAGAGTGTGGTTGCCCTGAAAAAAGGGAAATGGAGACCAAAACTGCATGGAGAGAATGAATTTGCAATGTGGGCAGCTTGCAAAAGAAACATCCTGGTGGTACAGAAGTTCAAAGTTAAGAATTTTCCAGACTTGGGTTATAAAGTTAATGATCCAGTTCTGTGTTGTATGAGGTATCACAGGGATGTTCAGATTCTTGTCTTCACTTCTGGCTCTGCCTGACCTGGGTTTCCAACTCTGGCTTCCTGTCACTTTGTCTCCAAGCAACAGCTTGACATACCGAAGATTAAAATCTTCTTGGGAGTTTGAGATCAAACTGAGTGTAGTGCCATTTGCAGGTCAGAATGCCTTCTGATAAGTTTACACATATGATGAACTTTAATTAGTAATCAAGAGTATGAATTTTGCTGTTAAGATGCACATACAGCCATTTTGCGCTATTAATATTAATATTTCTCTTTGCAGGTGGATGTTGAACATGACCCTCAAACTGCCTACGTTACACTACTGATTAATAACACCAACATGCTGATCTCAACAAACATTACAGATCTTACCCTCCTGGACAATATCACTGGTCTTCACGTTCAAAAAAACAGTGGTAATGGGACCACAGATGGTATACAGATTTACAGGAAACGATTCTTGCAAGGTAAGAAAATCTGCAGGGAAGTAACCCTGCTTACACATGTGGAAGAGCATCTGTTCAAATCACAACATTTATTTATTTATTTGTTTGGGTTTAGTGGTTTGCATTCTCCAATTATCAGTTAATACGGGTGAAAAACCCTGGGCAAGTTTTTGTGCCGCAGTTTAAAATTCTATTAACTCACATTTTGGCTCCCACATTTGAATTGCTTCTGATCTCCTAGGCACAGAAGTGAGCCCCTGTACTCTGTGAAAGTCACTACCATCAGAATGAAACTGGATCTTTCATGATAGTATTTGTTCATTTTGGGTACTTTTAAAAGCTGCTGCACAAGCTGTTTTAATCAATCTGATGAGTCCCCCTTCTAGAGCCAAGCAGGCAGATTGGCTTGCTGAGGTATTGAGGTGCATGGGAATTGCAAAAGGCCATGGAAGCAGGCAAGATGATTCATCAAAACTAAGGCAGCTCTTCTCAGTACCTCTTCTCCTCAAACTGAGCAAATTATAAAATCAAACCAAGTAATAGAGAGAAACTTGTTCCACTCTTGGAACCAGTCTGTTCCTTTGGTAGCAGTTGGATCATTGCACATCCATAAAATTTTACCTTTCTTGATTTCGTCATCTCTCTTTTCCTAAGCACGAGTACCTAGAAAATTAGCAACTTGCTTTTGAGTCATGATATTTCGCTTGGAGCTTTAGAAGTGTTTGGTAAGATCTGTTTATGATTGAAGTATCTAGGGTTTTGATAGTGTTTTACTGGTGAAAGATTTCCAAATAGGGAGGGAAATAGGTGATCCTGGGGCTGCTGGCTGATTGCAAGTAGATAGCCAGACTCCATTTCTCATAACAGCAGTTTGAGTAGTGGTACTGATTGTGGGGTTGGGTTTTCTGAAAATGTCAAGGAATTGCTGGCTCTCAACAGAGGTTCTTTAAGAAAGATTGATGCCTGAGAAAGAGAAAAACGTCTTGCAGAGCTGATCTAGTAAACCAAATTGGAGCAGTTATTGAAATTACTGAATCTGGAAATGAATCTAGCTTTCCCAGCCCAAATAAGTTGCATGAATCAGCATGAAGAATACTGAAATGGAAGAAAATCCAGCAGAATGGATTTCTGCTTAGTTTAATGCTTGGTCTTTACTATGTCAGTCCTGGTCTCAGCTCATACATTGCCACTGGGGGTGGACAGAAGGGCTATGCCTATGCTGTCATGCTGCATGTTAGCCATAATAGTTTTTCAGTGCTCCAGTGCACTGTGAATCAAAATTCAGGTGAAATCTCAGGAGGAGAACTGACTAGTTAGTGATTATAATGTAGGCTGTCTGTTTTATTAAAAAAAAAAAGTTTTAAGTATCTCATGTTGAGTTTGAGGATCAGTCAAAATGTGATGCTTTTCAGTAGGTTGAGGTGTCATTTAATGCAGTTTCCAGATCCTGTGCCAAATTTGCTTGAGTTCCTAGAAGCAGCAGATACAAAGGATGTTGCTGATCATATATGCAGGAACTGTCTGCTCTAGATATGGGGCATCTGTTGTGTTGGAAAGGAAAAGCTCCAGTGCTATCCCAAGCCCTTCCCAGGGATCTTTGCAAAATTTTCCTGGGACAGAGCAGATTTATCCATATCCCTCCTCTCTGGAGTATGCTGCGGGGCTCTGGCTGCTCCTCTGCTGAGTTCCCGTGAAGTCACTGTTGTGAGCTCACTGTAGCCTGGTTCCTAGGAGAGCACTTTTGCTGGTGAGGAAAGCACAGTCTAAAGAGGAACCTAAAAAGCTCCACAGATGTTTTATTCATATTGAACTTGCTTTTGAAATTTGGCAAGCATCTATAACTGCAGCTGAGCTCAGCTGGGTGCTCAGCTCTGCAGAGATTCACACCCAGTCTTACTGTTAAAAAAAAGATGTGCCACTGTACTGGGTTGTTTCCTGAGTCAGTGTAGTAACTGTTCTGTTTAAGAAAATGCAGACACTATTGCACTGGTAGATGTACCTCACTTGCTTAATCTACATAGTTGGTTTTTTTTCTCTAACAGGTGGAGAGTACTTTGCAATCAACTACTCTGCACTTCTTGATACAAAAGAAACGTGGGATGGCAGGGTCTTGACACTGCCTGCAAAGCTAACTTTCAGGAGTTCATCACAGGTATTTCCTTTACAATTTTATTTTGGTCTTCACAATTTTTGTAAAAAAAAAAGTCTCCAAGGTGGTTTTTGTCCGCCTAAGCAATGAGGCCTGCATGTAATGAAACGAGGTTCTTAGGCTCTCCGATTGTTTGCCATGAATTTATAAATAAATTAGTTATTCTTCATAGCTTAGGAAGTCCTAGGCTTCCTTCCTTAAATAGGTGAAGTATGTTTGTGTGTTGTCCTTTAGCTTTTCTCTGTACTTTTTTTATTTCTCTCCAATTTATCTATGTATCCTGGAAGTAATGGTGTTCCATATATTTATGCATGTATTCCTGTAGTCTGTGAGAGAGAGAAAGTTTTCCCATATTTTTATCAGAAAATAATTTCTTTTAACCAAAAACAAGTTACAGCAAAGGAAAACCTACTTGCTCATAAGAAATATACTTTTTTAGTATGAGAGTTGTGAAGCTGAGGAACCTCCATCCTTAGTAATTTTTGATAACTCGGTGGTACCAGGCTCCAAGAGAACTGGTCTAAAGCTGGAGTTATCCTGGCTTTGAGTAGGAGGCAGGACTAAGGAGGCAGAACAAGTGATTTCTTCCAAAGTAAAATTTTCTGATTCTGACATACAGCTTGATATTTTTTCTGTGGTTTTCATAATTGCATGTAATTAGGACATGCAGATGTATTTTCATTTCAACTGCTGTATCTCCTTTGATTTAGAGGGAAAAATATTCAGTGTGCATGAGAATGATACCAGAGTGGTAGAACACAAGACTTGAAATAACAGGGAACTATAAGAGTAGAGACATATGCACTGCCTTTGGCTCCTGTTCTGTGCATTTTCAGTCAGCCTAGATTTTATAGGCAGAGAAAAATGTAATTCTATAAGCACTGGAATATGCCTCTCTGTGATTAGAAGGGGAGTGTATCCCACAGAGCAGCTGCTTCCACGTCTGTTAGTGTTACTCCTAAGTACACTGCATTTTATGATCAGATGTATTTCAGTTTTAAGTTTAATGAGAAGTATAGCTTATCGTCTAAGCACAAGCTTTTCTAGAAACTCTAGGCTGCTTGCCAGTGGATTCTGCTAATTTTTTTAATACGTGTAATATTTTTATATCTCTCTCAGAATAAAACACATCTTGTGTCATTGACAGCATCGTTCACCATAACTGCAGAAGAAAAGACCAAGGTAAATTCTATGATTTAGTATTATATTGACTCTCCTGCTTAAACTTATGGACAAGCTAAACTAAATCCTAGGAGCAAAAAATGTCCTTATGTGCTTATAACTCATCACTCAGCTATGGGGTATTAATCATACACAAGTTCTGCCATCTCTGATTTTAAGAGGAAGAAAGCAGGAGTCAAGTAGAAGGTCCTTGTTGTCTTAAAGCAGCAATATTTAGTATGGAAAATCTACAAACTTCCATTATATTCCTAGCCATGGGGTTTTTTTTAAGAATTGTCCAGGCACAGAGAACTGTGATGAGGAATACATTCACCTGCCCCTGTGCAAAACCACCATGAGAAAGCTTTTTGCCTTTCCGAAAGAGTGGAGTTATCCTCGATCTGTTGAGAAGAGGTTTCTGTATCATGCTGATACACAAATCAAAAAATAGCTTTGTGGGGAGCCTAAGAAAGAAAACTTCAGTAAGAGAGGCATAGCTTATGTTTTCTTTTATTTTTTTAACGAGTCCTTCTTCCAATACGACTTCCTGTTCTTGGCTTCTAAATTAAAGTGGTTTCTAAGAGTCCAAAGAAACCTTCAAAATTATATTGATTGCAGAAAACAGTGTTATTCTTCTAGATATTTTTTTATTAGAGAACTCCCCACTGCATCCATCAGTTTCATTGGTAGAATTCTCTCTTCAGCAAACTTGTTTTTCTTCCCCAGCCTCTCAATACCTTTGACACGATGCTGTATTGCAAGCGGTCTTTTTTTTTTTAAGGAGCTGTGGCCTCGTTGCCAAGAGCACTGTGATTATTTGTGTCCAGGCAGAAGAAAATGGTTTGTTTCACCTCCAAACATTTTTGCCATGGTTGTATCATTTGAAATCTAAAGTTCATGTGGATGGGACTTGCCTGAAGAGGTCCCGAGGACTAGACCTCTCATTCCATTCATAGGCCTGTTCCATGAGTTCCTCTCCACCTTTAAAATCAGTAGTCTATTTGGAGATTGGGCATAGGGACCTCTTGTTCCAGTATTCTATTTTGCTGGAGATCTCTTGCCCTCTTACCATCTATTAGTGTAATAGATATAAGTCCAGGCTTGATTTCCTTGTAATTGAGGATCAAGTACCCATTCTGTTAAAATGAAAGCCAGACTTAAACCTGATATAAAATAAAACTATGCATGAGCTAGAGAACTCATTGTTCCTGGATAAAGGTCTAGTAAGATTTAAAAGAATTGGACATTCGTATAGCTAAGAATTATGCTTGGAATTACAATAAACGTGTTTTTTGGAAACTCTTAGTCTTAAAGGTATAAGCCACGCAGTAGCTGACTGGATCAGGAAAATAGCTTCATGAGTGGTTTTCTGTAGAGTTCAGTGTGAATTGATATGCAGCAGTTGGTGATGTCTAAGCTAAGACCATAAGCTACATTGGCCTCAGCCTGCTGTGAAAATTCCTGCAATCTATTTCTATACTTAAAACCTTTATAATGTTGGGGTTTTTTCCAACTTGAACTTGATGGTTAGACCTCAACAAATTCTTGGGGACTATTTCATAGTTAGGTAAAATTGCCTCAGCTGCATTTGAACTTACTAAATGAACAGATTTTGTAATTAAAATGTGTGGTAAAGGTGTGTAGAGAATACTGTTAATTTTTTAAAAATAAAGCTTAGAAATTATGAAACACATCATGTTTCACATGCATAGTATTTGCCTTTGGGCTGTGGCCAAACATAAAGTGTTCCAGAATAAAATCAGTTTGTTCAAGAAAGTTATGATCAGCTGAAGAAGGTGTCATGGATTGGGTTTCATCCATATCTTGAGCTGTCATAAATGCTCTCAATCTCGGAGATTTTTATTTATTAAAAATCATTATTTAAAACTGCTCATGGGTGTGGTGAGACCAACATATATTGTGACTAGGTGGATACCTAATGTTGACTTTGGAGACAGAAAAGGGAAGAATGAATTACGTAGTCATGGCAGTGCCATGCTAAGTTGATCCCATCAGCTTTCACGTGGTTTGCTTGCACACTGGGCTGCTGTGCTGTTCTTTAATGTTTTACAAACCAAGTGGATTTTCTTTTATATGCCACTGGAAGAAAGTTCTTGGTTGCCTTTGACTAGGTAATTTTGTGAGTTAGGAAAAAATATGAGTGTTGCTCATCTGAGTGTCCATGCCAGATGTCTTCCCGCAGCATTTCGCGGGTTGTGAGTACTGCGTGCCTCTGCCCTCAGTTGGGTGATTTTGATGCTGAGTAGGAAGCTGTAGTGAAAAAGACAAAAGGAAGTTCTTCCATCTAAGCATGTTGCATGAGATGATAACAATAATTACTTTGATCTGATTTTTACCAGGCTCGCTTCCCTCAGCATCCTTCAAATCAGTGGGAGCACAGTGTTTTTTGGAAGAAACTTGAGCCGGTAATGCCTGTTCCCACTATTGGGATGGCTTAAGAAGGTAGCTTAGGATATGGGTTGTGAGGCTCACTGATGTGTCAATGGTTTGAAGGTTGGTCTGCAGTGCCAACACTGGTCCTACGCTTTGGGTTGTGCAGAGGCTCTGGCACCTGCCCCTCAGCATCTGCTGTGATGCTTTGAGATACCGTTAGGTGCCTGCTGTGTCCTCCTGCTTGGGTTTACAGCCCTGCTGTGACATGGACTGTCCTTCCAGAACCAATTTCTTTAAGTATAAAACCACAGCTTGTCCATTTTTCTGCATTGGAGCTTAACCTCTGGCAGAACTACCTGCCCAGATGCACACTGACTGTCCCACCATAGATCCCGCCTTTTACTTTACTTTGAAAGCCCAGGATCATTTCCTAGCCAGCACTTTTTCTGGGTCAAAACTTAACCAGCTTTGTTTCAGCTTCATTGAACCCGTAGCCAGATTCCTGCTTTCCCCAGAAACCTAGATAGATCCTTAAAGTTCACAGAGTACTTGGAAATTAGACAAATGCGAGTGAATTCAGGCAAAATGATGAAGTGGTTCCAAAGCAGCATTTTTTTTTCTTAAGTATTATCTGCAGTATCTCCTGTTCCTTGAAAGTGGTGAGACCTTAGGTGCAGCCTTGGTGTGGCAGAGCTCAAGGAGAATCCTTCCGTGATTCCCTCTTGACCACCTAGTGCAACCGGAGAAGCTGGGGACAGCAGACTGAGTTAAGAGGAATTGCATTTTTTCCAGGTCACACACAGATGTTTCCTGGCTCTGTGACTATTCAAGGGGTATGGGCTAAACTCTTTTGAGCTGCGAAAGAAGTAAAGACTGGGTTAGGGAAAGGAGTTATTTAATATTTACTTAAATCATCTTTCAAGGTGAAGGTGTTAAAGTGATGCAGCTCTAACTGAGCTCATGGGAAAGAACTGGAGGACAGTGCGGAGTCAGAGGAGGAGAGAGCTGGTTCTGGCACTGATGTAGATGTGCTGGGTGTCCTTAGTGATCGGCCGTGGTACAGGGGAGCATAACGGAAGCAATTGGCCAAAGTAGTAGGAAGCTATGTCAGGAAAAAACATTCAGACAATGTCTTGATAATTACACATGGAAGTGAAAAATTAATGTGTTTAATGATATTGAAAGGTATGAGAAGGAATTCAGCACATACCTGGCTTACTCAGATAGATACTGAGTCCCAAAACTTTTAATGAACTTCAAAGTGCTTCAAGGATTTCATTATTTTAGACTAAGCACATTAAAAACCAAAACAAAACAGAAAAACAAACCAAACGTAGCTCTGTCAGTCAGAGCAATTGTTCATTCTACATGTACAATACTGTGAAGTAAACCTTGGATCTTCTTGGAAACGTGCAAGTGCCAAATAGTAGCCTGTGTTAAAGTCTTGATGATGTCGATACTGACACCATCACCTAATTCAGCTGAAATCATGTTGATTGCATCTCCCGCAGCTTTGAGGAGCCGAGCCTGTGAAACAACAGTCTGACATGAAGTAGTTCCTTTCAGTTAGACACATGGCAGGTTTTCAGTGTACAAAAATATATCAGAGAGAGAAAAATCAGGCAGTAAAGGGATAAAATTCTGCTGTTAAATTCGAATAAGTCATTTTCAAGTTGTCGACCACGTTTGATTATTGCTTCCTATGCAGAATTACTGTTGACTCCATGGAATGCTCTCAGGCTTCTACTCCAAGAGATGACCAAGCCCAGCTTGCAAGCAGCATGTTAATTATTTACACTTTCTAGCCCTAGCAGAGTGATTAGTTTGTGGTGAAACTTTATACTAATAGTTTTTCATCCAGAGATCTCAAAGAACTAAACAAACATTGAATTAACTTTTGCTACACGGAGCATGAAGTAAAAATTAATTTTTAATGCAATTCAATTTAAAGTTTAAATTAAGAGCTAAAGCGAAAGGCCTACAAAGTTATTAGTTGGCTTATAGTTCCAATGCTCCTGCTATTCTGCTTTGTCTCTGGCTCATGCAGAAACTGCAAGGATGCACACAAATCAAGTGGTTTTGTCAACTGTCGGTTACGTATTTGTTCTGAACTCGTATTGGTGCTTTTTCCCTGTCGTGATTACTCAGTTTTATTGAATCAAGAAATGGCCATTAGTTGAAGGTAGCCAACATTAGACTGATTTTTCCTAGACTCTAAGCGATATCGAATACCACCAATTTTAGTGAGACTTAGGAGAGCGTGGTAATGCTGGAAAATGGGTGCACCTGTGAATTAAGTACGGGACACCCAAAAGTCACAGCGCCTAAAATTCAGTCTGAGAGTTCTGTTGCTTGGAGTTACACAGGAATTCGGACTAAATTAACGTAACGAACCATGCTGACTTGAAAACCTATGGAAAATAGACACTTGTTTGAAAAAATAAACAAAAATGTAGTATTTACAACTTAATGCTGAGAAATCCTGAAGTTGTGTAATGCCATTTAAAAATAATTTACTGTGTTGATTACAGTTATAATCTTTGAGTCTGATCTTTATATATCTTTAAAATGTAGTTTTAATAATGTGGTCTTTCCATTTCAGATTTCTTACAGCCATGCCATCCATGCTTCAGGGTTCTTCATTGCTTTTTTTGTTTCCCTTGTATTGACATGTGTTGTGTTTTTCATTGTTTACCGATCCCAAATATTAAAATGGAGTTTCTGTAGTAAAAACCAGGTGAGTCACACTGTCCATAACGGTACTTTATTTAATTTTTTCGTTGATCATATCTGGTGATATAACTTGCTAACTACTACAGATTGTGTAAAGAGTTTTTGAAGAAAAGAGTTTTTAGCCTTTGAGCAACCTGGTGTAGTGGAGGGTGTCCCTGCCCATGGCAGGGGGGTTGGAACTAGATGATCTTTGAGATCCCTTCCAACCCTAACCATTTTATGATTCTGTGATTCTATGATTCTATAAATAAAAAGCCACCAAGTGATGGATTGGATTCGCAGATAATGTAATCTCTACAACCTCTAATCTTTAACATAATCAGATTTAGAGAAGAGTGTGAGAATGATAATCTGATCAAAAGAACTGCTGTCAGTACCTGGATGTTAGTTTCAAACTGGAGGGAGATTACCCTTTGGGTATTTATTTATTTTCATATTCCTCCCTTCCTCCTCTCCTCTTCCTTCCCCAAAATGAGAGGCAGGATGTCTGCGGGTTATGAGCAGTTGCCCAGGGAGTAGACCACTCACCTCGAGCACATCTTACTTGGGTCCAAATTTTATTTCTGATAATCAGCAATAGGGATTTGAATTTAGTCTTAGTTCTTGGGATGTGCCTTAATCTCTTGAGTGATTCAGCAGAACAGTTGAGTTTGGGGATGGAGCATTTTAACTGATCTTTATCCAAGCTGTGCTAGTTTGGAGAAAGTGTTTCAGTGCATACTGGGCCAGAGAGAGAAAATAGAGTAGTCGATAAATATTAATCAGGTTGGCCCAAGTTCCAGCCCTTGCTCCCATTAATTCTTTGAGTATTGATGCAAGGTGGAACAACTTCAATGGGAGGAAGCTAGAGACCCCAGTCAGAATATTGCAGTGGTTGGAGCAGTCATAGAATGATTTGGGTTGGAAGGAACCTTAAAGATCATCTAGTTCCAACCCTGCCACAGACAGGGACACGTTCCACTAGATCAGATTGCTCAAAGCCTCATCCAGCCTGGCCTTGAACACTTCCAGGAATTGGACATTCACAGCGTCTCTGGGCAACCTCTTCCAGTGTTTCACCACTGTCAGAGGGAAGAATTTCTTAGATCTAATCTAAATCTCCCTTCTTTCAGTTTAAAGCTATTCCTCCTTGTCCTATCACTACAAGCACCTTGCAAAAAGTCCCTCTCCAGCTTTCTTGTAGATTCCCTTTAAGTACTGGAAGGCTGCTCTAAGGTCTCCATGGAGCCTTCTCTCCTCCAGGCTGAACAACCCCAACTCTCTCAGCCTGTCTTCATAGCAGAGGTGCTCCAGCCTTCAGATCATCTTCGTGACCCTCCTCTGGACTCGCTCCAGCAGCTCCATGTCCTTCTTGTGTTGGGGACTCCAGAGCTGAAGGCAGTATTCCAGGTGGGGTCTCCTGAGAGCAGAGTAGAGGGGCAGAATCACCTCCCTGGACCTGCTGGCCACGCTGCTTTGGATGCAGCCCAGGATACGATTGGCTTTCTGGGCTGCCAGTGCACATTGCTGGCTCATGTTGAGCTTCTTCTCAACCAACACCCATAAGTCCTTTTCTTCTGTGCTGCTCTCAATCCATTCTCTGCCCAGCCTGTACTTGTGCTTGGGATTGCCCTGACCCGTGTGCAGGACCTTGCACTTGGCCTTGTTGAACTTCATTAGATTCACATGGGCTATCAGTCCTGTAAGAGGACTGCTCAAACGTTGGTGGATCGCCTGTCCCTCTGGACAGAGAGGTGCTCACAAATCACTTCCAGCCTTATTTTCTGCAGTTTAAAATGATTTCATCAATAATTTTTATTTCTTTTAGGCCTGAAAAAATAATCCCTTTAAATAAAAAGGGTGTGCCGCCTTTCTTTTTACAGAAAAAGCTGTGATAATGAAACCATAAAAAAAGGGCCAGTTTGGTCCTAGCATCATACTTTTTTTTGTATAGTAATTTTATTAGCTCTCAGTCTCAAGGGAATCTCACCGAATCATGAACTGAGTCGCTTCCATCATTCATAGGATTAGTTTTTAATGTTGTTCACCTCATAATACTGTAACCTTGCCATATATAATTTGTATACCCTGGCAGTTTTTAAAAAATTGGCCTAGAAAGTTTATAGTGGAAGATAACCTCCTAGAAGGCTTTCACAAGCCTACTAAAGTCAATGTAGAGTCTTCTGTCTTCTCCATTAATTATTCGTTTGTCCTGGATCAGGTATATACAAAAAGTTCAGCCTGAAACAAAAGTAGTATATTTGATTTTAGATACATATCTGAATTGAACAATCTCTTTATACCCTTTCCAGCTATACAGTTTGATGATAAGTAGGAACCTTCTCACTCAGAGTTACCTGCAATAAAATTAGATCAGACACTCAGTGCAAATTTTTTTTTATAATCTGAAGCTTACTTTTTTTTTTTTTTAGGAGATACAGCATGAGCTCAGCCAAAATCACAAACTGGAGCCTTCTCATTTTAATTCAGGTGATCTCTTCAGTGAAGATATAATTATGAACGATCAAATCATTGATATTCTGTCCTTTGAAGAATCTGGGAATATGCTTCAGGCTTTAGAAGAGTAAGAATTCACTTCTATTACATTACATTTATTACATTTATCACAACCAAACCTTTGAACATGCTTTGACTATCTACCCTTTTATTTTTCTTCATAGAGTCTGTTTACACACGTGACTGCACTCCTTTAGGTTTTTGAACTATATGAAATAGCCATCTGTGGGAACTGAAAATTGTCGTATTTCGTCTTGCTTTTCCTGTAGAAGTCACAGCTCCATCTAGGCCTTAGTCATGCAAGTTTTCCAATCCAAAAGAACATCTAGTTTTGCCTCTCTGTTGTTCATTATGTAATGGGAAACTTTTCTGTGTGAAGGAAAATTTTGAAAGGGTGTATTGCTGAACACGTTCTGCTTTAGAAAGGGTGGCTTTTGTCATTGAAAAGAGAGCCCCTGCTGGGTACCAGCATCACTGTGTAGTAGCATATTTTGGAAACACCTGAATCAGAGTCTAAGGAGTGGCAGCTCGTAGTGCTGCCTGAAAGATACCACGTCGCTGCAATCGGAGGGACCACTGGGTAGAGCAGAGAAACTCTCCTGGTGTTGTTGAAAGGCTAGTCTGGGCTGTTTGACAGAAACACGCCGCTGTAAAGGTCAGCTGCTCTTCAGCTGAATTTGATAAAAAGGTCTGATGTGAGGACAGAATGGATTTTGTTTGTTCAGTCTTGCCGTTAGCTCCTGCTAAGTCAGGTTGCAGGCAATGTTATGCAACTATAAAATCTATAGAAGCTGAGAAGGAAAAGTTACGGGGCCGTGGAAGTAATTTTCTTTCTTAAAGTGTAACTAACAGCATTATTATTTCATGAATTTTCTTGATAATTGGAATACTTATCTCTGTAAATTACACATTGGTCCTTCCTTTTATAACTATATAGCAGCTTGGGCTTTGAGAAGACTTATCCTGAAAATCAGTATGTGAATGTTAAGAAGAACAGGACAAAACATTTTTTTAACTCACTTTAGTATTAATTTATTTCAGTGATAGTGTATATCTAGCTAGTTTGAGAAAAAAAAAAGCTAGACTGTTTTCAGATACGTTGTGGTTTAGAAAGGTAAATATTCTTGCAAACCTTTGGATAGGATTATTTTTATAACTGGATTATTTCTAAACCCATAAAACAGGATTCATTTCTTGGTCTGAGTATGTATCCAGGGGCTAAAGTTTTTAAATATTCTTACACGGTTAGCACAAATGTATGTCTTGCTTCTGCTTCTCTCCTCACAGTTTCTATTTTCTTTACCTCTAAGGAGGTAGAGCAATGCAGCGAATAAAACAGATGCCCATCAGCAAACAGTCACTAACCTTCGCCTTCTGAGTTACCTATCTCTTCTTCTGGGGTGAGAATGGTAGATGAACTGCAAAAGCATCCAGAGTTACAGTGGTTCATGCTACAAAAGGTGATTGAAAGGGTGATGGACGTTACTGTGAAGGGCTCAAATCAGCCTCTACCTGTTAGCAATGGGTGCTTCCTAATCCCTATTTAGATTATCCTAACTCTTCTCGTTTCTTGTAGTTTTAAACTGGACCTTCTGATTCATTTACTATTAGGTGACACACGGATACACTTACCATGTTTTTTTCTATTCTTTCCCTCTTTTTGTTGGCACTCGTTGAATATGTGTATTCAATTACTACACACCTGTTCCTCTCCTCTCTTGCTGGTGTTGCAGTTTATCCCAGTGAGGAGTTTTGCAACATGGACTACTACACCAAGTTGCCCTGAGTCCCCTTTTTTAGTCGGGTGAAAAAGGGCATTTCTAGGGTGTGATTATTCTCACCCTAAAGTAGACGTCCGAAAAATGAATTGTATAGGTGCTGCACCCACTGACCCTAAAGCCTAGAGCCTGGGCTGATTAGCTCAGCTGCTGAGATCTGGAGGTGGGTGAGACGAATCCCAGTCTTGCTGGCTGGTTGGTGAAAAGGCCACAGCGTTACTTTAACACTTATATTAGATACATGCAATATTGTTTCTGCTTTCTCCGGCACCTATAATACACCCCTTGTTTTATCTCTCATTATTAACACTTTTATATGATATTTAGCTTAGGATGCTTCCTCATCTCTTAATGTTGGTTTCTTATTCATTCTGCAAGTTGTGGCAAAGCAGTCCTTTAATTTCTGGTCTATATTCCTTAAAGGTTTCATTTTAGTCTTGTACTTCATAAACTGTTGTACATTATCCAGGTTTTTAGCTGATCCCAAAGACAAAGATAAAATAATATACCATTGCCTTAGGAGCTTCTATGCCAGTGATCTAGGCTAAAACCAGAGTGGTGTAATTCTTCTTTTCACTGAATTACCTGCTTTAAGTATAGTGATAGGCAAAACATAATGGGAAAAAGAAAGATGGTGCATTTGTAATTTATTAGTGGACAATTAGAGTAAATTTGAATGAATTCTATGCTTAAACAAAATGCTCTAATTTTTCTAACTGTGGTCACAATCAGGTTTTCAACAATGTTGCATTTTGGTTTACTACATTTAGCAGCACCCAATACAATGGTTGGGTTTTCTGTAAGTAACTGAGAAATGAGGCTTGTATTGTCTTATAAGAGTGGCAGTATACTGCCAGGATAAGAACTGGCCTTGTATTCTGAATGCAATTTTTTTATGTCATATGTATATCAATATGAATTTTAGCATAATAATCCTGGTTTTTATTATTTGGGGAGACAAAAGTATAGGGGCTTTCGTTAGAGAGCTTTTGATACCTCAGACATTTTTAGCCAATCAACAACATCTTGCTTGTATGCTAGTTTGAGAATTCCGTCTGCGTGTATTGATGCAGCTATGTGTCATTTTCTCTACATGGTGTATGTATAAGCTTGCCAACATAATTGATGTATTTTTATTTTAATTGCACTGTGATAGTAAACACAGCTGGAATCATTCTGGTACTTTGTTCTTTTGTCCAGACACAAATGGGAAAGTTACTCAGAAAAGTAAGAGCCACAGGTTGGGTTTTTTTGTCCTGTTTATGACAAAGCTATGTTAATAGTTAATGTCTTTTACAAAGTGACAGTGCCAAATTGTTTAGCAAATACATGAGGAGCATGTGTTCAATATTTATGGACAGAGACATCTTTGGAGTGTAAATAGTTTGCAATGTCAGGAGGATTGACTAGAGAACAAAACATACTTTTAATATTTAATAAGGAAGTTTTTTAGTTACTCATTTTGTGAGTTTTGTCTTAATAAGTCATATCCTTCGTGTACATTATGCGGCAAAATAGCTTGGCTTTTATTCTCAGTAGGTTCCTTACTGTGTATATTCCTGAATATTGGCCCATTGGCAATGAATGCTAATGAGAAGAAGCTCTGTGATTTGAATATTTGATGTGCACACTAGAAGATTATGGTCCAAAATGTTGCAAGTCTCTTTCCTGTATGTCTAGAACAGAATAAGAAGAGAGCTGAACAGTTTGGGTTCGTGTCCAATCTGATGAAGTCTGAACATGCTCATAGTCTCAGAAGATACAGATACATTAAAGGCAACTTAATTTCTTTAAATGGCTTTCCACTGTTACAATCATTTTCATTTTATACAGCTATGCTTCCTTGAGTTTTGTAAAGCTCTAGCCGAACTTGAACCTGCTTGCTGATACACAATATATACTGCCGATTATTTTGGAAAATCACTAAGTAATATGTATGCATTGCAGCTGATTTTTTTTCTGATGATAGAGGGCATTGAGGCCAGTGTGCTAAAGAACAGGATCAAACTGTCTCCAGAGAGCCTTGACAGAAAAGTCAAAAACAATTTACTGCCATATTAGAAGTTCACTTTTTCTTTCTAAATGTAAATTTCTTGCTGTACATCTCAATTTAATTTGCTGTGGAGCGAATGTGGGTTTTTTTTTAACCCTGAATTCAAATGGAAAGTGAGAATAAAAGATCACATTGTCTTAGCAGCTAGACTTGAATATTCCTACATAGCAAATGGTGAGAAAATGGTGAGAAATAGTTACATTGTTAGTACAAAATAGTTTGAGGTGCTAATTTCTGTCTTTCGTAACTTTTTAAAAGTGTAATCAAAATTTTAGAATTTTTGAAGGGAGAGCATATTCATTGCTCTGGTTTTATGCAATGTGGACAATGCAGGAGTACAACAATAAACAATAATTACATGTGTATAAGAGTAAAATACAGTGAATACATATGGAATGAACACCGAACCTGTGTTTGTAGTTCTGTGTTACAAATGCTGTTATAAACTTGACAAGTCTATAAACTATACATTTTTTCCATCAGAGAAACTCAAATGCCTAGTAGGTGATAGGAGTCCATAAGACAGGGGAACTGAAGAAAACAATTCGTTTGAAATTAATGAATGCGTACCTTTTTTCATCTAAAAATGACACTTCTCTTTGATGTTGGCTAACTATGAGGAAATGATATTCAGAATTCTGTGGGTAATTTCTTCTGTCCAGCCAGAACAATTTATCTCATCCAGAAAACAGTCTGCTTTTGAGAGTAGTGCTGTTAGTGGTGCTCTATTCCATGTCATTTTGAAAGAAGATTGATATCTCCTACCATTTCTGTCATCTGAATGTTCACCCCATCTGAGTAGATCAGAAGAATCTGAGTAGATCACAGCAAAGTTGGAAGCTCCTCAGGCATTAATATATAATGCATAGAGCCATCATATTTATTTATGCCTTTGTTAGTATCCAGGCTGAAGTTGATGCTTTTAAAATCAATGGTAAAATGTGTGATGACTTCACTGGAAGCAGGACTGGAGTCTTTTTACAGTCTTTTTCCATAGTAGTTTCCATAGTAGCTTTTCAGTGAAACACCATTTTCTGAGCTGTGTTGCAACAGCTGTATTGTAGCTAGTTGTATTTTTAAAACTAGTTTGCTGAGTATCACTGGTTTATCAGTTTTCATACTTTTTGCAATCAAAGAAGAGGTTCTCAGTCTCTTAAATGCAGGATTTTTCAAATATTTTTAAAACAGATTAATTTAAGAATTGCAATATCTTTACTCGCTTTATATTGCTGTGGAGAGTTAAAGGAATTTGATAGTGAAACTGCTGCCAAATCTAGTGCTTAGACTTTTGGCAGGTTTTTGTGAAGTTTTTTTTTTTTTTTCTAAACAGCCACTGGTCTCTCAGCATAATTTATCATCTTTTTCAGTTTTGTGGGTTTTTTTTTATTTTTTGGCTATATATCATGAGAATCCTATTTCTGGTTTTGTCAGCATTCTTGACTTTTTCTGGAAGGCTGAACTTGACCTGTGACTCATCCACATGAAAGCATCCTTAGATAATCATCATGTACCTTTCTAAGGGATGTTATTTCCTGGGGAGCTGTCCCATGTTCTCTGTGAGCTCACGTTTCGGCTATGCTGAGTGCATGCTTGGCTGTGCAACAGTGTCGCAGCACTGATGGATGAGCTCCCCCAGGTCAGAGATGGCTGCAGGCCAGTACGGCCACTGGTGTAGGCACAGAGCATCTTCACTTCTCTGAAGTGTGACGAGGCAACACGGACCTCAGTGCAGCTGACCCATTGGCATGCCCGTGGGTGCAGGAGATGTGCTGCTCTGGCTCAGGCAGTAGCAGTGGGTGCCACTGGGCTGGGGACAGTGGCATGTCTGTCCATCCCTGGCTGCATTGCCCTCTCCAGCAGGAGTTGGTGTAGCTGCCGTGCTGCAGAGCTCCAAGTCATGGCTGTAGCGGGGCATCTGGGACAGTGGAGACACAAGCTGTCCACAGATAGCCCTAACTCACATGCTTTTGGGCAATACTGTGTATCACAAAGGAATGCTTTTGCAGAAACAGCTACCAGAGGGCTCCAGTCTCCTCTGGATGCTGTGGTAATATATGTGCTACTAATTGGCTGCCATTCACAGATGAGAGATGAGTCTTCTGAAAATGACGGGTTTTTCTGTTTCGGTGAGAAAATGTCACTGAAGGGGAGTTTGCTTGATGTTTCTCTTCCCTTTAGACTTCAGAAAGTTGTGTCACAGCAGTTTCTTACCTTTGTGAACTCTGAATTTGTTTTAAAAATGTGTCAGAAAGCCACTAGTTCATTTTAGGACTGTTACATTCAGCCACTATTAGATTCTCCTGCTCAAAAATTCCCTCTGCGGGCTTCGAATTTGAATAGTAAGACTTAAAGACACCATTATTTTGTAGTTAATGAGAAGTTTCCTTTTTTTGTGGTGCAATGTGGGGTGTTTTTTTTAATTAAATGTAGTTTTTTCTTTTTTGACACTAGCTGCTTTCCTGTATTCTTTTATTAGGTCTGTGGAAGATACCAGATGCTCAGGCACTCTCTGCATCTCTGTTTGGTGTCTGGGATTCTCCTCTCCCAGATCTTCTCTGACAGATCTTTAAATCCTCTTCCTCTTCAAGTGAGTGAAAAATCTTTACTCTTGCTGTTTCAAGCTTCGTTTTCTACATGTCCATCTTTCCTCCCCCCACACTTTTGTACCATCTACCTTCTGTACTGTCCTCATCCTTTCTCTGCATGTTTTGTCCAACAAAAGCTTTGATCTTTTTCATCAATAGATTGCCATCTGCTACCTGTACTTCATTGGCTTTTATGTTTCTATTACGTTGAATATGCTCAGGAGGAGATGCGAGACCTTTTAAACATGAATTGCTGTAACAAGCAGAGTGCAGAGCATTTAAATGAACTTATTAAATCTATTTCCGTTTGAGGAGGCATAGAGCCTCAGGTTAAGATTTTTTTTTTTTCCCTAAGTGTCACAAAAACATTGCACACTCAGTCCGAATGATTGTAAGCATTGTTCTTCTGTGTCTGAAAATATTTGGTTTATTATATGTACTGACTGTTGGCATCACAGACTCAAAGGCAATGGTTGGTGTCAAAAACGTCCTGTTGATGTCTGAGACTCCAAGACTATATTGATGCAGCTTGTTAAGATCACCCTCAAAACTAGGCATACCTCTCATTTGGCGTGAGAGCTTCAAGCAGAGTTTCTGGTGCATGTGGTGGGCTTGACTCACTCCCACAGGCTGCTGTGTGGAGGAGGCAGACCAGAATCAGAGCACGTTATGTGGAAGGTAGATTTTAAATTTTCATAGACACAATCTTTCTTCCGCTGCCACTGAAAAAAGGTAATGGTCTGGCTGCTGTCTTCCAGGATGTGACCTGGGAGAGCTGTGGCTTGTAATTACTTCTTCTCCATGCTGTTACCCTTGGATTAGCAGAACAGTTCATGTGATGCTTCTGCTTCATTGCCTTCTTCACACATTTGCTGTAAGCAAAATGGAGGGTGAGAGCTGCAGAATAGATACACATGAAATTTTAATAGCCTTATCACTAACTTGTTGACACGCGAGTGTCAGGTGAACAACATCTATTGCCCCTCCTGCATTTGGCATCATGATCTTGAGGAGAGAGTTAATTGGGTACTGTAGTTTTCTCCGTGGGTAAGAAGGAGCATGGGAATCCTGCTCAAAGTGAAATCAGGTCTGGTCTGTAATGACTTGAAGTAAACAAGAAGAAAACCTGTGGGAAGACTGAGGGAAAGATAACATTAGGAAATGTGATGGTGTTTGGGATTGCTGCTGAAGAAGACTGGAAAAGTAACAAGTAAGGAGGTGGGTGAGGAGCGGGTTAATCTATTTTCAAAGCACACTGAAAAAAATCCTGCGTTTGTGATAAGAAATAAATGTTGTGTTACGAGTTATGTATCAGCATGGTGGAGCTGTGAAGTGTTGCCATCCAGTGAGACAGATGAGGAATTCAGTCTTTCACACCTCAGTAAGAAAGGGTTGGTAGGTGCTGTGACCACCATCTCTCAGTGCATGCATGAAGAACAGAAAAATAATGACTAAGGAACTTGTTATTCCAACAAACAAAGAGAGTTGGAAGCGGAAACTAATCAAATTCAAGCTGAGGATAAGGTGACCATTTTTAGGTCTTAAAGGAATTATCAAGTGGAACAATTAATTAAAAGCATTGTTTAGTTCTCTATTAGGGGATGCTTGAAAACCAAGATGAGGTGTTTCTCACAAAGGACAGATACACTTCAATTAAATCAGAGCTGCTGGACTTGAAGCAGGAATTAAAACAGAAGAACAAATCCGGTGGTTTGGATTGGTGAATCTACGAAGGGGAGCCTCCTACCACTGCCTGGCAGTCATTAGGGAAACATTATAGCATAAAGCTCCCATTTTCTGGATCCTTGTTTTTATTTAAGCGTATTTGCACAAAACTGAAACGCTTTTTTGAAGTTAGGTGTCATAAGTAAACAGCTTCGCACTAGCTGCCTATGTCAGCAAAAGTCTTAGGGCTTCTGTAAACAGAAAGTCTTAAGAGAAAATACACATCTGCGTTGCTGGTTTGAACTGCTTGCTGTGTTCCTTCAGCATCCTGTTCCCTTGATCCTACCATCACCATCACCTGTCCTCTCTCTCTGTCCCGCTGTCCTGGAGTGAGAAGGACTCTTCCTCAAGCAGAGGGAGCAGAGAGTGCCCTGGGGGACTTGACCATGGAATGCCACCAAAGAAGGCTATGTGCCTGCAGGTGCTGTCCTGCAGAGTCCATCTGTACACAGCATAGAGAAGCTGGATTGTTGTGTTGTCTTGGGGATGTTGTAGAAAATATTAGCTCTTACAAGATCTTCAAATTATTGTGAAGAATGTTTGAGACACACAGTGTTTCAGTCACAGGGGTCTGGCTCCATACTGCAGTGATTCCTGCTCCTGTATGGGAGGAAGAGGAGGGGAATGGAGGAGGTTTTACAGCTGCAACCAGCAGCCCTGCAGCAGATCGACGAGTATGGCCATCGCCAATGCAATTTTGCAGTTTTGAAAGACTGCAACTGCCTATTTGTGATAGAATATCATAGCTTAAGCTAATGTCTCCTAAATACTTCAAGTATTTGAGTCATTGTAAGGAAACAACTTAATTCCATCCTGTTGATTTCTAAACAGGGAAAATACATCTCTTGTTAACAGAGGGGCAGTGATAGTAATATATCACTGATTGACTTTTAGCTAAACTTTATTTGCTTGCATAAGGAAAGGAAAGTTTGTTTGACAAAAAGATGAAGTGTTTATAGATTTGCATGCTTTGATATATATCATTCTGAATGTATTATCATTCTGCTATCTTGCAAATCTTGCCACGATCTTTGCTATGAATTTGATATTTATTCTAACATTTGGCTATGGAACAAATCAAGACAATAATTTAGCCTAACTGAAAAAAAGAATGTATTTAAGCTCCTAAAAGTGTATTTTGTAGGTCTCAAAGAAATTCTTATAAACTTAATCCACACACAGAAGCATACAGTGCTGCAAATTGACATGCAGGAGCAAAACCCACCTAATTCTCCAATCCTGAATTGAGTGCAGAATGGGCAAAGCTATAGAATTTACAGCAGTTACCTGATATATGGAATGAGAATAATTATAATTCCAATTTAATTGGCTCTAAAGATAAATGAGAATGTATTCATATGCAACATGACATTTATTACATTTTGTTAAAAACACATTTTATTTCCCTCTGGTTTTAATCTCCTTTTTAGAACTCTGTTAAGGTTTGTGAGAGAGATTTTACAAAGTCAGTGAAATTTATAGTCTGTTCAGATACTCACTTCATCTGCTTCCCAACAGAGGTGGTGGGTTGTTTTTTTTTTTGGGGGGGGGGTTTTTTGCCTTTAAGATGAGGGAACGTTCTGAGTTTTGAAGAAACGCTTTTCCTTTTTCTGTCTAAAATGGAAATGCAAGAAGGGACATATTTTATTACAGTTGCTGTGGTACAAGTTGGCTCACCCTACTTTTTAATGAATGATTGCTGTCATGATTATTAAACTCGTATGCTGTAATATTCCTGCACTTCTCTGACTGCCATCCAGTTACTCAGTTTTGAATGAATATAGATATCCTTGTTTTCTGATAGAAATTTCTTATAATCTGTGATTTCCAACAGTCCTGATTCCCTTTCTACAGCTTGGAGGTTGGCAGCCTGACACGGGCAGATGCTGATCTGGAGGCATATCGAACACAGATATGTAAAGAAGTGATTGCTATGATGATGAAGAACATGGTCTTAAGTCACAGCATCTTTCCTCATGTGGAGAAGAGGATGAGTTCAATTTTCAAAAAGCAGTTTCTTGCAATGGAGAAAGAGATTCAAGAGGAATATGAAAGGAAGATGGTGGCTTTAACAGCTGAATGTAATCTGGAAGCTAGGAAGAAAATGGAGGCTCAATGCCAAAAAGCAAGAGCCACAAATGAAGAGACTGAGGAATTAATGAAGAAAATGAATGAAAAGGTAAATCTGGTATAAAAATCAAGATATTTTGTGTGATACGTGGTTTTATATAGATAGTTTGTCTTTTAGACTAAAATGGCCAGCTTCACTTAGAAGAGTGAAGAGAAAAGCTGTACAATTTAAATGAGTTCAGAAATTCAGATGTCATAATTAGGGTAGTTGTTATGAAGAAACTGTGTTTTACTTCACCAGAAAATGAATTTATCTGAAGAGAATCTGTGACACCTGAAAAGAAAAGGTTGTCATTACCCTGATTTATTTTTTTTTACAGTCACTTAAACCCTTGCAAAGTAATATATTTTTATTTAATATATTTTACTCTAGTCAGACACTATGTAAAGTATTTTGCACATTCAGAGCACAACAAACTCTCTACATTGTAAACCTTGCATCTCGGTAAAAAGCCTCCAGTATTTATATTCTTATTTTGAAGAAAATGAGAATATAAACACAACCAAAGGCCTATTTCCTCCAAACCGAGTGAAGGCAAGCAGAGCAATCTATGTTTTAGGCAGAACGGGGAGTGGGCTTCTCTTGGAAATAGCCTCTGGATAATAGTGAGATAAATAATTTAAGACAGAGTATGATTCTTTACAAGTTTAGAGTCTCCCATTAAGTAAAAGCTTAGTGCTTATGTGTGTCACTTTCGTTCAAAGATCTCTGTCCGAATGGGTTAAGTATCATTATGCAGGATTTCATAGATAGTAATTAGCTGGAAATAGAGCCTGGGTCACCCATCAGCATCCCATGTACAAAATCAGGCTTCAGTCTTCCAGGTCTTTTTTCAAGTATATTGAATGTTTACTGTAAAAACTGATTTCTCCCTCACGGGTTTTTGTGTTTTTTCACTTCATGTATCTGGGGAGGATTCTTTTATTTTGAATATTTCACCTCTGTAAGCTTAAAATGCTAAAATACCCAAGTTAATGTTTCAGGCTTGTCTAATGTTATAATTCGTATTAAGAGGATGACTTGCTGGGAATAAATAGTGCAATTCGTTACTTACCAGTGGGGCTTTGCTTCTGGAGCATAAGTGGATATGTGGGTATTGAATGTGACGCTGCTGAGTTTCCAGCTGTCTGATTCAGTTCAATTATAGAGACAAAATAAGTTGAGTTAAGAGTATAATCCCTTAGACTAGTGTATTTCCTTGCTTGTGTGTGCTCTCTTTGTAGACATTACTGAAGTTTCTGGCCTTCTGTTGTTGTGGTTTTTTCTTTCTTTTTTTTTTTAAAGCATTTTTATTTGCATATCGTATACCCATAATTGTTAAGGACTTTTACGACAATTGATGATTGCAGTTTTGCCAAAAGAAGTTTTTTTGCTGAGCGTGGCCCATCAAAGGGACTACAGTATGTTGAGACTCTCAGGAAAAACTTTGGTTTATCAGGCTGTTTTGTGGAGAAACTTCATGGCACAAGGCTAGTGAGCCAGTAGGAATTTCTATGATGTTTCCAGGTGAATTTTAGATTGTAACTCTAAGGAGCTTTCACATATCTGTAGGGTATGAACATTCTGAACAAGAGATGCTGGAAAGTCAAAGGAGACAGCAAGGAGGGGGTACTTGTGGACATCTTTTTGAAGATGAGTTGAGTTGCACTCTGCAGAAGTCTTTTTCCTTCTGTTGATTATAAAAGGAGCCTAGACTAGATGTCTAACACTTAAGTAGACCTCGCTGAGATAAATCCTACCTTTGCTGAGAGAGGAGCCTGATTGAAACTCAGTATATGACCTCTCACTAGGCGCGCTCTCAGCAAACTGGCTTTTCAATACTAATGTCTTGTTGATCACTTTCCTGTCTGTGAAAGGACCTGATTTTGTACTTACCGTGGAACCTGGTCCAAAAGGTTCAGGGATGGCCGTACTTGTGCTCCTGCCAGCGGGTGTACTGACGTCCAAGAGACAGCAGTGAAAAACAGCTGGAGCAATAGTCTCCTCCCTTTGGCTCCTTCTCAGCCAAAACACAGAATGTGCCTTCTCTGCCTTTTTGATTAATTACTTGCTGTCTGCAGTGTCTCTTGCGAATGAGGGTTGAGGTGTCATGGGGCTCAGTGCAGAGGACAGTTCTCCTCAGATAAATGGTATGAAATTCAGAACAAGACCAACAGAACTACTGTTAGGTAGCTCTGCTGGCATCAGAAACACTCTTTGCTCTGTGAGACATGTATGTTTTAATTTTACAATGAGTTGATGCCATTTGAGATTAAAATTATGAATATGTAAGTCTTACTGGAGAACTATGAAAAAGTATTTATTGCAAAGAAGATATTAGATTAATTGCCACTTAATTCTATTTCATTATTATAACTCTAAAATGATGCTCTTGGATTAATTTGTAGAAACCAATAGATAAAGTAGGTCACCAATAATAAGAACTAGAGATTTGTAGTAGAATAGTTTTTTCTAATTTATATTGTTTTTAAAATGTATGCTTATTGTTATTTCATTGTTCTGACTTATATGAGTCAATTCAATTTTAATAGGATTTCAGGATTGATGAAACTTAAGAAATTCATTTCATATATAGTCTTCGTGTTGAATTTCATGCCATTTTGTATAATTTATCTCAAAGAATGATGCTAAATTCTAAAAAGATTTCATTATGCCTTGGAAGTGTTACCTGTTTTACAACCCCTGTCATTCCAGACAGATAAAAGCATGGAAAGTGTACATTGATAGTATTAGACTTCATTCGAACCTGAAATGACGGTAATCAGAGTATTTGTAAAATATATATAAGCTAGAAGCATTGATACTTTAAAATATGTTGAATACTGAGAATCACTTCAGATTTATTTATTTGTCTTCTCTGCAGCCTGCTGTAGAATACAGAAGTCTTCTGGATAAACTTCACAGACTGGAGCAGGACCGCTTGAAGAGGTTTCTTCTTGTAAAGCAGGAGGAATATTTTGCAAAGGCTTATAGACAGCTAGCTGTTTCCCAGAGAAAGGAGCTCCATAATATCTTTTTTACCCAAATAACAAATGCTACTATCAAAGGAGAACTGAAGTTGGAAGCAGCTAAAACCTTAGTGGAAGATTACTCTAAAATACAGGTAATAGTATGATAACCCCATTCCTAATGTAATGACAGAATATAAACCCACAGTAACTTTTGAGAAATTTTTCAGGAAATATGTTTCAGGATAAACGTCATCACTTTTATAACTGATTTTCTTAGGAATAATTTTTAAATAATGCCATCATTTTGTGCATCTAGACATCTACACAACTGTATATTGATGCATACGCACAGGCTTTTTCTACAACAACGCGTTACATATATTTGCTGCAACATTATGTGCTTAGTGCTGACTTTTGTTTTCATGGGTAATATTTCCAAAGTGTCCAAGTGCTTAAAGCTTGTCTTTACTGCTCAGAGAAAAGAAGACTAGTAGCTCACCTGTATCAAGCAGAAGAAAGAAGTTTGAAAACATGTTTACACCATGCAGTGGGAAATTACATAATATAATTCCCTAGTTTTGCAGTGAATATTTTGATATCTCTGCACATCTTGGGGCTCTGCTTACCTTCTGAAAGCTGTGTTGGTGCAGCTCTACCCCTAAGCTCTCTCAAACAGGATGGTCTGAGAGGAGATTTGTGCTCATGCAGCAAACTTCTGGTTCCAGGTCGACTCTTGCTGGTGTTGATAGGGCCCTCAGCATGGTAGGGAAAGGCTGGAGTGCCATTTTCAAAAGTAATTTCAGCCCAGACAAAGGGACTTAGGCAACTAAGAGCACAGTTAGGTACCTAAACCTATTTTATGAATGACATTTTCTAAAACAGATCAGATGCTGTCTCATGAATAAGTACATTTGGAGGCCTGTCTGTATAAGCATTTTCAAACCCCCCTAGGCATCAGGTACTTTTCTATACCTCAGAAGATGTACTGAGCCACTCAATCCAAATACATAGATTATTGAAATTATGGTATGTCTGAAGTGCTTTTTTTTTTTTGTACTTTGAGGGTTTAGAATCTCTAGCTTACGCGGTTGGGGAGTGGCTGATGAAGAGTATGTTCAGGATTTTAGTTTTGATTTCAGTTACATTTTAATTCTCTTGCAACGGAATAGCTTGAGTTTTTCCCTCAAGGGTTTTTTCTTTTCACTCCATTTGTGTTGAAAGTTAGTGTTCTATATTCCAGAAATTCTGGGAACTATTCTTCTGGCCACTTCTTGAAGAAGAATATGGTTGTTGTGGTCCTAAAGATTGCGGGCCCGGAGATTAAAAACATCTGGAAAGTAGGTGTCAAAATGTGTAAGGCCCACTCCTAAAACTAGATGCATTGTCACTACAGAAAAGCCACGTATCGGCTGGTCAGATGTAGGTACAGCAAAACACTTGTGCAAAAGGCAGCTGAGGAGCCAGCAAAAGGTAAGGCAAGCAGGAGAAGTTTTGATGATGTTTTGGCTGCTCAGACATGGGTCACCTAAGTATCAGACCTTGTCTTGTGTGTATGATGCTAGCAGAATGTCTGCTATCGACCATTCTGTGTCCACCTCTGGTTTCTTGCAGACCTACTTTTAGGTGCCTAAACCCTTCCCATTCCCCACTGTTGGAAGCAAATGCTTCTAAGCTGAAACCAACTTATCATTGGTTTTGAAGTCAACTTAGACACCTGTGAAAATGTTACCCTTTATTTACTCATACAATCCATAGTAAAGGTTGGAGATGGCACGGGGAGAAAAGAAAAAAAGACTTGCTACCACTTACTGCTGTAACTGAACACATGCTGTCTCCAGGTCACAGTTCAAGAAAATCTTTCAGCCTCTGGATAGCTTTAAGCAGGAACAGTTCTACTAAAACTGGTAGAGTTGTGTTTGTGTTTAATTGTGAGTACCTGATCAACTGACCTGTTAAATTAGGGCTCTCAAGAGGTGCACTAAATATTCAGGAGTACACACAATATTGAGGTATTCAGGCCAAAAGCTCAGCGTATTATTTATTTTGTTTTATTGAAATAACAGTAATAATTTGATGTGATCATTAGAGTTAAGTTGATATAAGATTATTGGTTTTCGTTTGTAAGAGCTTTTTAAGTTTGCCCTGTTAATGAACAAATCTGGTCTGAAACCCACAGGTATTAGCTGAAATTAACATTACATCTAATTATGTATATTTGTTCACATTCTTTCCTGTAGGGACACATTGAAGAGCTAATGGATTTTTTGCAAGCTAGCAAGAAATATCATCTGAATAGAAGATTTGCTTACAGAAAATATCTTATAAGTAAGATACACTTAAGGGATTCTCAAGCCTCTGCTCTTATAAATGCAGCAGCAACCCAGATACCAAGTCTTATGAATAAGATGGAAAGGTAAATATCTCAGTTGTTTATTTGGCAACCGTTTGACTATATTATCTCAATGACGATAGAATAGTCTTCAAAAGTCTTTTTATCTGTGTTACCTAGCACGAAAAGTTCATAAAAATGTTGTATTTTAAGTTAATTCTTAGAAAAAATTTTGCAACTAAGGGCTTTGTTACTTCCTATTCTTGCAGGCATGAAGGTGAGACTTGGTTCTCTGTGTCCACTTTGTGTAGCATGGAGATTAATTGCTGGGAAAATGTATAGTATCTGTTTGTAATTCTGACTTCAGTGGGAACCAGACTCATGTAAGAGTCTCAATACATCCATTGTTCATGTAAATAGTCCTCAGTCATATGAAAAGTCCATTGGAACCTGTACCACTTAAGACTATTAGTCTTGGTTCTTTATATGTGAATACTTGGATTTAACAGGAAAGAACAATTTTGATTCATTTGTGATTTAATGTGTTTGAGTAGCTGGATGTACAGTCTCAAGCTGGAATGCATGAATATTTTCTAAAGAAAGTTGACTAAGTTTATAAGTAATGTAACTGGGGAGGGTCTTGACGAGCAACTGTTGCAGACAATATATAAAAAGTAAAGGTCAGGTGAAATAAAAAGTAGACCTGGACATAGACTGTTTTAATACTTGAATATTGAGAGCAGCCCTGAGGAAAAGGACTTGGGAGTGCTGGTGGATGAGAAGCTCAACATGAGCCAGCAATGTGCGCTGGCAGCCCAGAAAGCCAACCGTATCCTGGGCTGCATCCAAAGGAGCGTGGCCAGCAGGTCGAGGGAGGTGATTCTGCCCCTCTACTCTGCTCTCGTGAGACCGCACCTGGAATACTGTGTTCAGCTCTGGAGTCCCCAACACAAGAAGGACATGGAGCTCCTGGAATGAGTCCAGAGGAGGGCCATGAAGATGATCCGAGGGCTGGAGCACCTCTGCTATGAAGACAGGCTGAGAGAGTTGGGGCTGTTCAGCCTGGAGAAGAGAAGGCTCCGGGGTGATCTTACAGCAGCTTTCCAGTACCTAAAGGGGGCCTACAGGAAAGCTGGAGAGGGACTTTTTGCAAGGGTGTGTAGTGATAGGACAAGGGGCAATGGATTTAAACTGAAAGAGGGCAGATTTAGGTTAGATATAAGAAAGAAATTCTTTACATTGAGGGTGGTGAGGTACTGGGACAGGTTGCCCAGAGAAGGTGTGAATGCCCCATCCCTGGAAGTGTTCAAGGCCAGGTTGGATGAGGCTTTGGGCAGCCTGGTGTAGTGGAGGATTTCCCTGCCCATGGCAGGGGGGTTAGAACTAGATGATCTTTGAGGTCCCTTCCAACCCTAACCATTCTATGATTCTATGATTCTAATACACTCATTTAATTTATTTGGGGTATCGTACTGGATCCAGGCTGATTCAAGTACGCCATGTGAGGATAGTCATAGTCAAGGTGAAGTACGAGGGTGGTAAGACTTTGGAATAAATTGCCCAGAGAAGTTGTGGATGCCTCCTCCCTGGAGGTGTTCAAGGTCAGGTTGGACAGAGCCTTGAGTAGCCTGATCTAGTTGAGAGGCATCCCTGCCCATGACAGGGAGGTTGGATTAGATGATCTCTAAGGTCCCTTCCAGCCTATGCCATTCTATGATTCTATGATTCTATGAGATAGATATGGTGACTTAGCAGAGATATAGTTATTTACAATTACATGGCAATGTGGAGCACTGAGAGAGACCTCTTGCTGCTACGCAGAGTTCTGTGGTATATCTTAGTTTGACATACAGACAAAATACTGAGAAGCATGCCACTGCAGTAGAATATATCAGTGGGCATGAAAGCAACCTAGCACTGCTACTGTTGATTCTGCACATGCAGCTTCCTTTGTGTATTTTAGACATCTGTATTGTTGTCAGTCACGGGCATCATGTGGAGCATGTATCAACAGAACAAGTACAAAATAGGTGATGTAGTACCAGCCTTTTGGCATCAACAGCAAGAGATAGCACTGTAGAAATATATTGTGTCTATAAATTGTGTTTTTTCTTTCATGATGTTGACTTAATTTAAAAGTAATTTAATATTGGGAAGCAAGAGGTTTCTTAAAAGCTACCAAAGATTGTATCTGTTGATACAATGAAGTCATTTACCTGACACTTGTAACCTTTCCTTGCTCTTTTTAATTGTTTTGTGTGCTGCCTCATTGGCTAAGTTTAGTCTCAAGATTTGTTGATCTGAGTTCTTCTAGTATGCTTGCACTGCTTTGCCTATTTTGCTAAAATTTGCATTTGTGTCGCTCAAAGACAAAAAATAAATCTGCTGACGTGGGAAATACAATTGACACATCTTTTGCAGAGAGTTCACTTTCATCAATTCATGCCTGCCCTTGCAGTCGGATTATAAGAAATGTTCTGAGATGTTTTCCCAGATTTTGTGGTTATGTGAAAAGCTTTCCAGAGAAACTCCCACCTGTATGACCACTGCATCTGTGGCTTAAATCAGTGTTTAATGCCTGTTATTGCAGCTAACAGTCACAAATCAGATCAACTACAAAAACAGAGAAGAAACATCTAGTATTACTAATCCAAGATCTCATGGATCTCATCCCAAAAAGTGTACCAAGAAAAAACCCTCCCCAAAAAGCCAAAAACTTCCAAAACCAAGAAGTGTCATTACCAAGATGAAAAAGTAAATTCTCTAGCGCTTCCCTATTAAACTTTGCAGACTATGCAGTGGTCATAGTACTCTGTGGACAAAGGAAACACATGTCTGTAAGTAGAAATGGCATTTGTAGAGAAGCAATCCAGTCTGACTTGCTGACACTAGAACTACTTATTTTCCTGTAACCCCCCACACCTGCTGCAGTAGGAATTCCTTTCAGGCCAACGTTGGCCAAACTGTTTTATTGTTCATTCTTTAGATGTTGAGATTATAAAACTCCAGAATGTAGTACTTCACGTTGTTTCCTAGTCTGTTTTCTACAGACAAAGTCGAATATCTTCCTATAAACCCAGCGTAAGTTATAATCTTTGCTAGGTGGGCTTGAATTTCAGTTATTGGTCATAAGGTGCTTTGAGGAATATTTGCAAATTGGAGTGTTAAAATTTGAGCAGCAAGAGAAGTCTAGTCTGAGAGGCTGGTATTTTAAATTTGTATCCATAATATTCTCTTATTTTTCACTCTAGCATTGAATCTGCTTGTCTAAATATAGATACAGGTCTGTCTTAATCTATTATGTCCAGCTTTAGCATGCCTTAAATTTACTGTTGTAAATGGAATTTCAAAACGCAGAGCTGTTCATATGGAGAAGATAAACTGAGAGAAGATGTAGATTAGATATACCACAGATAAACAGATTCGGGGATACATAAACCAGCAGATAAATGATGAAGGGAGAGGTCTTTTGAAAATTGAGCTTAAAAGAATCTTTAAAATTTATCAGATAGCAAGGCAATTTGAAATAACATGAAAAAGATTGTGTGGCTAGAAATAAAGGTTATAAAAAGCAAAATAAAACCAAACCAAGTCTAGGGAGGGTTGTGATCATTTTAAATGAAGTAGAGCAACCAGTTTTCAAGCTGGGCTTTCTAAAGGTAGTATTTAAATAAAATATCTTGTTCGTCAGGACTGGCTGTGGGTTCTCAATGCCTTTTGGAAGTCAAGTCCATGGACTGCAGTGCCAAAAGGCAGGAAAGCAACTTTTAAAATATAACCTGTAATGATAGATTTCAGAGATGCCTAGCTAGGCTTTTGGTGTTTTCCCTTAAAGAATAAATGGGCAGGAAGGCGATACTTGAGGCAGTATTTACCCTAGTTGTTCCAGCTGTCCACAGAGGCACAAGGTTCTTGAAGTTTTTGAACTACAGCAGCTGTAACATGTTGCATCTTTCTTTTGCCGGGATCTAGTCGTTCACAAGAAGTTTCCTTCCTTCCTTGGTCTCTTAAAAACTGAAGCCAGTTCTGCTGATTTGCTAGGTAGGAACAACTCAAGCTACTTTTATAAATTTCTCACGAAAATTAAAACTTCAGAAGATGTTAAGCATTTCTTGTGGACTGTGTTTTTAAAGTAGGCAATTCATTATCTCTGACATAAAAGTTCAAAGCAAAACATCTTGTATTGCTCTCTTACTTATTATTCTGAATAATCTCAATTTACATGGACCTTGTTATAAGCAAATTTATTTTTCCAAGCAGTATCCTGCTGGACCTTTCAGTGAGTTGGTGTTTGAAAGTGAATGCCTCCAACAATAACGCATTATTTTAAAGGTTTCCAATGATCTCTTAAAACCTGTTCTGCTTGTAGCACTTTATGTAGATCGTTTATTGCTCTGAATTATTTACCTAAATTCTGATCTGGTCACTGGCAAGATGCCAGTTCAGC